GTGTGTGTGTGTGTGTGTGTGTGTGTGTGTGTGTGTGTGTGTGTGTGTGTGTGTGTGTGTGTGTGTGTGTGTGTGTGTGTGTGTGTGTGTATGTATGTATATATATATACGCAAATATACAAATGTCACGTTTTTTCCCTCGAAAATTGGTTTTCCCGTGGAACTCGGTTAATTGTCTAAAATACACACTACGGCGTTGAAATGAGAGGAATAACGATGAGATACGGGCTGATGGGAAGTACGACTTGTTGACATGCTGCGCGCTATATCTACACCGTATATTTTACGTTTCCGCAGTGGGTAACCGGTCGTTAAACGACAATCGCCTGTGAATGTACAGCATTCGCCGCTATTTGTCGGTATAATCCCTGAAAGGTGCCGTGTATTCACGCGAGAAAGAATACGTACCACCCACCAACTCTTTCTATATATTAGCTGCCTAACAACTTAGCCACCAACTTCACTTTGGGCGACTTATACGTCGAGCTTATATCCGCGGCTACGCTGCATGTTTCTCGTATTTGTGTAGGAAACGTGTAGGCTTGGTTAATGGACATTCAGTGATTGCATATATTGCTACGAATACCGAGCACAATAATTACCAGTAGACAGCCTACATGCAGTAGATCTCAGATAAAGCCTAGCTAGCTCCCTTAGCTTGAGGTGACAGGCGTAGCGCGGCTTTACCGCATTGCATTTTTTGCGGCATAACCAGAGAAAAAATTCAGGGTTAGATACACCAGCTAGAGACAAAGTGCCCAAGGGAAACGAGTTTTGGCACAGCGTGATAAAAACCATGTATCATTTAATGACAGTATACATGTCACCCAAGCAGTGTACACGGCACACTCAAGTACATGTGTGGCGCCGACACGTCGAAGGAAACATTTGAGGCGGGGAAAAAGAAAACGGGTGAGGAAAGGCAGAGAAGAAAAGAAAAGGCACTGCATGGCTGGCTTTCTGCCAGAAGAGATTTCTCTGCAGGCGATCAGTGACGTTTTCTTTGAAAACCATTTGCCAATAATTATAAGTTACATCAACCACTTCGAAAAACATGCGCACTTTACTCGCGTAGAAAATGTATTTCTATTGGTGGATTTATGAAATGTCAGAAATGTGGTTTCTCTCCATGACATACAATTGCGCTGGCAACATGTTAGTTTGGATTCTTCATAACTTACTGTGAAACCTGTGTGAAGTTTGTCTATCTAAATTGGGTTCACAAGGTCATGGGTCAACTTCAATTGACTCCGACCAAACGAGTCTGGTCGATGGAATTATAGCACGATTTTCCATTCTACGGGGATCATGGCATGGTTTACTTGAATTTACTTCCGTCTTTCACAGATACGCGTTCGCTGTGTGTGCGCGTTTGTCTGGGCCGCAGGTTTTCCGGATAGTTAGGTCACGGTTCTTGAACTGACTTCTGGTAGTAATCAGAACCAGTTTAATTGCCTATTTCGACTGGCTGATGACGTACGGTTAGACAAGAGCGTGTAAACTCAGAATCATCCCCGAATAAATATCCATATCGTGCCAGGCGGATAATGGTGCATGGTCAGGCTTGCGCGAACTTTGCCTTCCTGTGTGTGTGTGTGTGTGTGTGTGAGTTCTTGCTTCGCACGGCTCCACACTCCAGAAAGGCAAAGCCGCACTGCATGACTGCAATTAGATAGCAACTTACACGTTACCTGCTGTCGTTTGCCTCTGTCTACGCAAATCTTTAGCGGCGGCTGGCAAAACTATGACTATTAAATAACGGCACGCTGTGATATAACAACTTGTGAAACACACAATGATGGCAAATTATTAATTGGCAATGGATTGATAAAAATTGCAGGTACTTGTTTTCCTTTATATCAATTCAACTCTGTGTATCTTGTTTCCAAGTGGTACCTTTTAACATCGCAGGGACCTACACATGACCGAGCGATTTTTATCGCTATGTTTGTCATGCATTAAACTAAACTTTTACTAATTATGGTTGTTGTTGTTTTTGTTTTCGGGTGTCATAATATTTGCGAGCAGGTACTTTGGAAATTTCGTCGCATATATACTCACAAAACACAAACATTGAATTTATTAGTATGAAGAAGATGTCGGTGTTCTTGGCAAGGATCGCGTGTGCCGACTCCAGCAGCGCCACCTGTTGTCTCAGCAGCATCAACTCTTCAACGACGTCGCTGACATTGCCGATCGTCACATCGCCCGTGAGATTTTTCGTCACGACTTCCATCCTGGAATGAAAGCGGGTGCTACTCACGACTGCATGCTGTATCTCCACCCGGATCTGTGGCCGATAAGGTATATGTCTCCCTGGGTAATGCCAGAACGAACCCTGGGTACGGTCCGGTATACCGGAACGTACCCTGGTAACTATCTGATATGGTTAGGGTTAGGGTTAGGGCTAGGGCTAGGGTTAGGGTTAGGGTTAGTGTACACTTATGTAGTACAAGTCTGGTACGGTTTGTGTATACATATATGTACCTCGGGTACATATCTGTAGTACCTGATACGACAACGACCCCTTCAGCGGCAGTATACCTACTACGCTTACCACCGCAAATTGTCACAGCTGAATTCACCGACAATGCTGGGATTCACGCAAGAGTTACGCAAGCTCAATATATTCATTCCCATGCATTTGTCTATCTTGCATTGCATATATAATTCGCAAGTGAAATAAAAGACCGCAATACGGATTAATAGACTTCTATATCCAATTTGTACGT